GAGAGAGAGAGAGAGAGAGAGAGAGAGAGAGAGAGAGAGACGGTGTTTGATGGAGTGATGCATGGTGAGGAGGAAGTGAAGGAATTTGAAGGAGTGATGAATTGCGAGGAATTGATAGAGTGTGAGGAAGTGAGTGGGTTTGAAGGCGTGACGCAGTGTGAGGGAGTGTAGGGGCGCAGTGTGATGGAGTGATGCGTGGCGCGCGGGGGTACCTCTTCCGGAGCCCGTGCGGCCGTCGTCCAGCTCCACGATCTCCTCGATGGTGTCCTGGCGCGCTATCTGCGCAGGCGCGGGCGGCGGGCGCGGGGGCAGAGGCGGGCGGCGGGGGCGGGGGCCGGCGACGCGTGCGACGCCGACGTGGGCCGGGAGACGATGTGGATCGGAGGAAAGGGCTTGTGGGGCGGACGCCGCCACCGTCACCTTCTGCACCTTGGGGAACACCTGCGCGCCAGAACAATCACACAGTCATATTTACATTATTGGCGAACGTCTCTGCGCTACAATAACTACAAAATCATTTTAAAAACCTTTTGAAACTCCTGCGCGCAGTAATTTCCCCACATTAATTTTTAAAACCTTGGGGAACACCTGCGTGCAATAACAAACATAAAATCATTTTTAAAACCTTGGGGATCACCTGCGCGCAGCAACAAACACAAAATGATCTTTAAAACCTTGAGGAACACCTGCGCGCAGCAACAAACATGACATCATTTTTGAAGCTTTGAGGAACACTTGCGGGTAGAAAAAAACACAAAATCATTTTTGAAGCCTTGAGGAACACTTGCGGGCAGCAACAAACACAAAATCATTTTTAAAACATTAGAGAACACCTTCGCGTGGCAACAACCGCAATACACAACACTTAAGTTAGTAATTCACATTACAAGGTAAGAATGAAATTGTTTCCATGTATAGTCGAGAGAGTTTCCCAATGATGCCGATCGGGCAAGTGGAGGAATTCCGTCATTTCATGAAAATTTCGCCGTGTGATGTACAATACGTTATTTGAAACCTCAATTTAATGACAATTAGTTCACATTTATTTGATGATCATGGAAACAGAGTCCTTCTTCTTTCAGGAGTTGATACGTAATTTGCTTTCCAATGATCGTCATTTTATTACTAGAACGGAAAGTACTTTCAACGCAAGTCCAGGCAGATGTTGAAAACAGTTGAAATTTTCTGTTCGAATAATGTAAGTATGGTCACGTTTTAGACCGTCTTGAATAAAAGTCAATTTTAAAATTTGGGATATTACTACATCCAACAATGAACATGCAATAGTTATAAAGTCTACTGACCAATAAACAAATAAAGAGCCAAGTCTTTTATTTGTGTTATCAGCCATTCAATACTTTTCGTAATACCATCTTCTTATGAGAAAGAAATCATAAACAAGAAATACCATTTTTTGGAATAAGTTTTCTCATACGCTATCTTAAGCTACAACTCATTTATTTCGATTGTTCATAACGGACGGCGGACTGTTACAACCTTAAAGGGTCGCCAGCCGTAAAGAGTGTTGTTCAGTTCTCTGTTTGGTCGTCAATATCAGATGAGCATTACCAAAAATAATTACCAAAAGTCATCTTCTGGTCCATAGGTAACACCTACATTATGGTGGTTGATATTTTTGTAGGAGGAAAACGGTAATGAAACAAAATCAGTTGAGGGCCATGCGAGACAAACGGAGAAAAGCAAATCAAAGTGGTGGCGACTGGGTTCAGTCTTGGTCCCTTGGTCAAGGATTTTCATTTCAGGTCGGGTCACGACAGAACAGTTCGATTGAGTTTACTTTTGTATCATACCTGGGGCTTTTTGGACCCCATCGTCATTAATTTGTCAATATTTCCCTAAATACTTGAGAGATATTTCAGTCTTCTAGATATACCTTCCTCCAATTATTAAGTAAAAGCCAGAACATTTTCACATACTTTAATAATTTTATTAGAGAGTTATTTATTTTTTGTTAAATGAGACTGGTTTGACCTGCGATATAGCCTCTTATTTCCCCATTTTATTGCCAAGAATTACAAAAATGTGTCTGATACAGTTAATAATTAATTCATTTCGAAAACTCTCACAAATTATTATCAATATTTCTAAAGCATTGTGTATCAACAATGGAGGTTATTCTTATATAAAATATCTCTTATGAATAAATTATATTTGTTATACTATTGAAAATAACTTATAAAATGTGTTCTTATATGAAATCAATTATTTATACTCAGCGTATTGCCGTACACATTGGTGTTTATCATTGCGAAATATCAGTAAAGCTCATTTTCTAGTTATCAGTAAACCCCCCCGGGAATAATACTTGACTGTAAATTAGAGATGTGGTACGACGGTTAAACCTTCGCTCCTTTACACCGCACGGGCTACAATTGTGCTACAAGCTTTTTTTACAAAATAATATATCATTGTGTCTCATTTAGTTAATTATGTCTAAGAATTCTAAGTTACTGTATTTTTATTATTAAAGAAGGATTTAACTTCAAAATAATATATCCAACACTCATGTGTGAACCATATATTTCACATAGTAGGCATAATTAACACTCATCTAATATTGAAGAAAATTGTCTTAAACCGCCAAAACCGTTGTATACCATAATCTACAACTACTCGTAGAGGGCTGGTCACAACGGTTAGTTAGAGTGTCGTGTCTGATTAGGTCTGAATCGTGTCTTGTTGGATGAGATCGAGCTGGGTTATCACAGTTCGAATCGAATAAGGAAAAGTTGGCTCGCACGTTCCTAGGAGTTAGCACGTCCAATCGAGAGAAGTCGGGTCGAAACTGAAAGGAGGGGTCGAATTATAAGTGGTAAGTCAATTTGGTAGGAATGGTCCAAATAACAAATATAGTGGAATCAACGAAATGGGGTGTATATGAAAGAGTTGGATCAATAGGAACGAGGCGGATCAAAAAAGGGATTGGATCGAATCGGGAGGAGTTGGAAGAATGGGGAAAATCATGTAAATTGGAAGGAGGCGAATCGTAAAGGGAGGTTAGATCGAATCGGGAGGAGTCAGTCGAGTAGGGTAAAAGTTGGGTTAATCGGAAAGAGGGGAATCGTAAAGGGGACTGGACCGAATCTGGCGGAGTAAGGCGAGTAGGAAAAAGTCATTTCAATTGGAAGGAGACGGATTGTAAGGAGAAGAGGGTTGAATAGAATCGGGGGGAGTGGATTGAGTAGGGAAGAAGTCGGGTCACTCGGAAGGAGAGGGTCGAGTAGAACAATGTCGGGCCTATCAGAAGGAGAGGGTCAAGTAGGGAAAATTCGGGTCAATCGGAAGGAGAGGGTCGAGTAGGGAAAAGTCGGGTCAATCTGAAGGAGTGGGGAGTACAGGAAAAAGTCCGTCCAATAGGGAAGCAGGCTGATCGCAGAGGGGGAGGTGGGAGCCGAATAGAACCCGGGGGAGGGGCTGCATGAAGGGCGGAGTCGCGCCAAGCGACGCACCTTGTTGCCGGATCCCTGCGCGCCGCCGTTGCCACCGCCCGATGACGAGGAGCAGGAGCTGGAGGCGGACTTGTCCTTGCCGTTGCCGCCGCCCGCGCCGGCGGCCGCGTCGCGCGCCGACAGGGACCTGCGCATGCGCCGCGCGTCAGCCCCCGCACCGCAGTCCCGCCGTACTCTCGTGCGCAGCGGGTTGCGGCCGGCAGGCGTTCACGAGAACATTGCATAGGAGGGGGCACCTGACGTGACGCCAGACTAGTCTTTTCCCCCGATTAAGACAGGGAATACGAATCTTAATGAAAAAATTAGATATTAAGTATTAATTAGACCAGGGGTGTCCAACTTCCAAGACTTCAAGGGCCACAACTAAAACCTTTTATATGTTCGCGGGCCATATTTTCATTAACTGGGGTGGGGGATGAAACCTTATCAAGGAGTATCATGCATATCGCAGTGCAATACATTAGTATACTGAATTTAGGAATTTACTAGCAAAAAAAACTCTTAGAGCAAAACTTGATCTATTTTTACATTAAAGGGGGTTTTGACCCCGGCAGGGCATATGCTAAGCGCATAATATTTTAGCCCGACAGGGATGAAAGGGGCGTACACTTTTGACTAATAACCTTTCGCGGGTCACAATAAATGGCGCTGCGGCGTGCTAGTTGGACAGCCCTGAATTCGACAATAAATCGATTAATCAAGGTAGTAAACTGGTGATGGACTTATTTTATCGATTTATTGTTAACGATTACGATTGCAACTTCCTTCCAATGAATACTTCAACATACCTTAAAAACCTAAACAATGTAGCACAAAATTACATAAAGCTACAATATTTCGAAAAAAGTACATTATATGATTTAAGAGGCAAATGGGTGACATCCCATTGGTGAATAGGAGAAGAGAATTGCAAGAAACTAGTTTAGTTTTAAACGCGAAATGCCGTGTAGGGACAGCATATTTGTTTCGTTTCTATCCGCATGTATACGTCAAGCGATCTTCTTTTGTTTGGTGGGTTGCCGTGTGGAAAAAGAGAGCCGCCGTAGCGTGGCCATGAATTGCCCACCTGGTCGCTCTCAACTACTTACCCTCTACCCGCGTTGGAATTCTAAGGTGTTCAACTAAGACTTCGCGCTGAAAGACACATTTTGCCATTTTAAATTAAAAAGACACTACGTATAATTTTTGTGCTATTTTCTTGCAAACGATATAGCAACTGAAACGTTTTGACATGTTTAACTGAAAGTATACATTTGAATCTTAATATTTATGAAAAATTTTCAGTGATAATTGTTTTCCCCCATTTTTTAAGTTGTGGTCTGGAACATAACAAAAATTCTTTTTTATTTACTTGTCAACGTAATCTTATTTGATTGCTTTTAATGAAATATAATAAATTTGCTTTTGAAAATACAATAATTAGATGTGAAATAATGCATACTTGTTGCTGAGAATTCAACTTAATGCATCAGAGTCCTCGAAATACGACAGTGGTTAAAAGAAATGTATTTCCATTCGTAGTAATATAGAAAATTCTCTTGGAATTTAAAGCAACGCGGCTATTGGCTGAAGAACTGGAAGATGGAAGCAGTGTTGCTGGGATATCCCTTACCTTACCCTTTCTCTGGAATGAAAGTCCGCTCACTTGGGGACGAAGGAGCTGGCTGCGAAAAGGTTTAGTTACTCAAGTTTAGATTGTTTCAAAGTATTTCCTTCTCCTGGAATTTAGTCCAGAATGGTTATTGGTTGTAGAATCGGAAATGAAGGCTGATTTTGTCGGAGATGCCAAGAGACTTTTCTTTCTCATCGAACGGAACACCGCTCACCTCGTAAGCCGACCCAATGGAGGTGCCGTATAATTACAATTCAGATCCTGAGTCTTTAGTGATAGTAGCGTCGAAAACTTTTAGCTGCATTGCTGGAAGATCCCAGCTGTCATATCTTTTCTCTAGAATGGAACCCCGTGATAATGGCAGGATGCTGCCCAACAGCATCAATACTTTAGGTTGATGGAAGGTATTTCCTTCTCTAGGAATTTAATCACATGTAACGTTTGGCTATGGAATTGGATATCGGAAGCTGTGTTTTTGGGAAATATTTACACGTTTTCTGAAATAGACCCCCCTTGTGATAATGATGAGTGACTGCCCTTCGAGGAAAGTCCAGATCGCTTCAAGGTATTCTCTAGGGCTTTAATCCAGAGTTACTAGAGGACTCGGGGACCGAGTTCGTGGCTGCGCTTCTGGGAGATCCCCAGGGCTCTACCTTGCCCTTCTAATCATAATGTCGAGTGGTTGCCCAGGGGCAACAGTGCTTGAAGACCAAACTGTTCCAAGCTATTACTTCTAGGCTGTCCGGGTGACGCCGCGTCAGGGTAATCCTCACTACCCTGAAGAAGCCTGCGATATGACAGGCGAAACATCGGCCTTTCAGCCAACGACGCGGCGACACCCGGACAGCCTGGAAGTAATGAACTCGAGCCGCGGAAGCCTGCGTGTACCGGAGAGCCTTCACCCCACCCCGCGCTCTCACCTGGTGATGGTGTTGGCGGAAGCGGTGGCGGCGGCGGCGGCCGAGTCGCTGCCGGAGTCGAGGCTGCTGCTGCCGAGCAGCCGGCCCCATTTACTGGCGCGGATGGTGGTGGGGCGGTGGTGCGTCTTGCCGCCGCCGCCGCCTCCGCCGCGCTCGTCGTCCTTCTCGGCGACGGAGGAGAGCTTGGTGGTGGACATGACGCGGACGACCGTCTTGCCGCCGCCGTCGCTGGCCGCCGCCGTCCCCTGCGCCGCCTCGCCCGGCGCCTCCCCGCGCTCCACGTCGCCGCTCGCGGGGGATGACGACTGCGCATGCGCAACGCATGTTGTACGCAGGAGCCATTGGGCTCACAGAGGGAGGCACGCGGGAGGGAAAAGGAGGCAACAGATACAGGGAGCGATAGACACCAAATGATACAAACTTCGTGCAAGAGGGAGAGAGAGGGAGATAGAGAGGGAGACAGAAAGGCCAGCCAAAGAGGAGGAGAATGAAAAAAGGGAAAGCAAGATAGATAGGAAGAAAGGGATATAAAGAGAAAGAAAAACAGAGGGAGAAACGAAGAAAAATGGGAAGGAAATGAGAGAGCTAAGGAGAACAATATTAAGAAAGAGAAGAGAAATGGGATGAACAAGAAAAACAGAAAATGAAGAGAAAAAAGAGAGGAAATGAGAGGGAAAGGCAAAGGAAGAGTGGGAGAGGAAAGGAGAGGGTGTGAAGTAGAAATAAAAAGGAAAGTCTGAAAAGGATGACGAGAGAGAGAGAAGAAGAGACGGAGAGAGTTGACATAAGGGAGTGTGTGTGAGAAAGAGAGAGCGGGAGAAAGGCAGAACGGTAGAACGAGAGACAAATGAGAGAAAGTAAGGATTGAGAGACGGAGTGAGAGATGACAAAATAAGGGTGAGACACCGAAAGATAGAAAGAGCGAGGAATCGAAAGGGATGGGGGAAACAGAAATAAAAATAAAAAGGAATAGGGAAGAAAAGTAGGAGAAACTGACGTAGGGAGATAGAGAGAGGCAGCAAAGACGATAGAGGAGGAACGGGAGGAAAAGAGAGGGAGAGAGAACGTAAGGAAGAGAAAGAGAGGAATGGAGGTAATAATAATAATAATAATAATTATTATTATTATTATTATTATTATTATTATTATTATTATTATTATTATTATTATTTTTATGCTAATGAGCTTTCGCTCGGTGGCAGAGTAGTAGATAGATAGCGTTGGAGAATCAGAGAAAAACGAAGAACGGGGCACTTCGGGAGAGAGTGAGAGTAAGTGTGGGGGTGGTTAGGGGGATACGCGCACCTGCTGCTGTTGCTGCTGCTGGGCCGCGGCCTCGCGCTGCGCGGCGGCCGCGCGGTCGCGCCGGAACTTGGAGAAGATCTTGCGCACCAGGTGGTCCTGGTTCTGGTCCAGCTGCGGCTCATTCTTGCGCCGCTCCGCCAGCTCGCGCTCGCGTCGCACGTCCGCCACCTTGCGGAAGATGAGCTGCGCACGCGCAGAGCGGACGAGATGGATAGATTCATTCCTCAGCACACGATTCGGAGACGCCAAGTGGGGACGTCGGATGTGTCGTTTGAGAGATGCAGTAGGAGGAAAGGGGAATGGTAGAAATAGTCTAGTCCAGAGGCGTGGTGATGAGGAGCTCTGAAGATGAGTAGAAGGGAATGCTCACTCGAGAAGCCTTGTGGAACACCTTGCGGAAGATGAGCTGCGCACGCGCAGAGCGGACGAGGTGGATAGATTCATTCCTCGGTACACGACTCCAAGTGGGGACGTCGGATGTGTCGTTTGTGAGATGCAGTGGGAGGAAAGGGGAATGGTAGGAATAGCCTAGTCGCGAGAAGTGGTGATGAGGAGCTCGGAAGATGAGTAGAAGGGAATGCTCACTCGAGAAGCCTTGTGGAACACCTAGCAGAACACCTAGACTCGTCAGCGCACCACCGCCGCCCCGCCGACCGACACGCGCAGCCTCGCCAAAACGACGGACAAGATTGATTCCTCAGCACACGATTCGGAGGGTGGGGACGTCGGAAGTGTCGTTTGAGAGATGCAATGGGAGGGAAGGGGAATGGTAGGAATAGCCTAGTCGAGAGGTGTGATGATGAGGAGAAGGGAATGCTCTCTTGAAAAGCCTTGTGGAACACCTTGCGGAAGGTGAGTTGCGCGCACGCAGAGCCCCCAGTTAGAGCGCATCACCGGCGCACCGCTGCCCGACACGCGCAGTCCCGCCCAAAGGAAGGTAAGGGGAATAATGCACAAGAATATATGCTGAAGAAGTGACATCGTATCGATAATCCGATTGAAAAGTGCCGAGGATGATAAAAATAGAAAAAAATATTTGTTTGTCGATGCAAGTTTCTGCAAAAGAAATAATATAATAACCTGCTCGGTAGGTGGAACAAGGCTACGAAAATGAGGTAGCAAAACCAAATGTCAATGAGGATAATTTAAAGAATAATAACAAGGAATACTAGTCTTAGAGGAGCCATGAAGCTGTAAATTGATGAAAATTAACAATTTTCATGGAAGTGATGTAGAGTTACAAACGCGTTCTTACCAAATATAGCACTCTCGAGAGAAAATACACACAGTAAGAGTAGCTTTCTCGAAAATCGATGTAGAAAGAGAGAACAGCAAGAGGGATACATTTCTCGAGAGGCAAAAGGGTGTCTTGGAAGCAAATAAATCCTCCAACTCAGAATGGCATCTTGAGACTGCATGCGTGTTTCACCTCTATTTGTGAGTCTCCGTATATACAGATTACGCCATGAGATTTTCCGTCACGAGGTTACATCAATACTACGTCATGAGATTTTTCCCTTTCTGCGGAGGAATGTCCTGTGGATACCCGGGAGCGCAGTGGCGGTGGACTCAACTACCACTCAGTGCCTTCCCCTTTCTCCGGCTTAGAACGTAACAGGCTCCGTGGGAACAAGGGGGGCTTGGATTAACTGCTACGGTTAGCAAGGTTAACTTTCTTGAGAGAAACATGGGATCCTAGAAAGAGGGGTATGTAATTGATTAAGAGAAATACTGAATCATGAAGAAGTGGAGGAGTGTTGTGTGTTAGTAAGTCGCTTTTAAAACTTTTATTACTTACCTCCTTGTGAATTTATTTTAAATCGTTGTACCTGGGTAATTTTATACAATAAAATATTAAAAATGAACCTTTTTAAGTGTTAGCTGTGCTATTGAAAATAATAAAATATTTTTGATGTAGTAAGACGAGAAGAATATGCTATGAAAAATCAGATTTTTGATGGAAGAAATGCAAGAAAACAAATGAGGAAAGAAGGAAATATATAGGATGAAAAAGTATAAAATGTAAATAATGGTAACAAAATAAAATCCAATATAAGTTTTGTAGGTAATTCTACACTAGAATCCTACTTTATTCATATAAAAGGACACAAAAAATAAGAAGAAATGCAAGTCGTGAATATAAAGGAACATCAGTTTAAAAAATAAACTAGAAAGAGACGAAAAGTATTCCTGAATTTTCAGATTTTCACAGTCGGAATTGAATTGTTTGGCTGTATTAAATGGAAAAAAATGCAAAAATCTACAGTAATGGCAGGGAAGTGCCGTGTTAAAAAAATATACATGAAAATGAGATAACACAGAATATAATTTGCCATTAACAAGGCAATGAAATAAAGATATAGTTGCAAAAGAGTGTTTCAAATTTTAACAATTATTAGATTAATAATTGTAATAAAAATTCATGTACTTGATTGAACTAATCAATTTTTCACCACAATGTTTATTAATGATGTAAAATAAGTATTTTAGTAGGGAATGCAAATTTGAATGGTGTTTTTGATAATTAAATTTTAAATTGTTGTCCCCATGCACATGTTTACCAAAGTTCTGAAAGCTCTGCAGAGGCGAAAAATGCCCAATCTGCAGATCAATCAGAAAACAATCTGGAGAAACACGACGAAATGATGTAGGAGATATAATGCAATTCAGCTTTTAATAGACAAATTGAAATTGGAAAGATATAATATCATTAATAACTTCAGTTTAAGATGGAATAATGTATTGCCACAAGAAAAGTAGTCTTAAAAAATTATAAAGATGTCCAAAAAAACAAAGAGACTCGCTAAAATAAAACGGAAACTTAGAAAAGTTGATAATGAGCTACATTTAACCAAAAAATGGTGGCTAAAACAAAAATATAAAGAGATAAAACATGAGGTTGAAAATATATTTGGGGAAAGAACAAATCATATATACACGTACAATATAAAGTCTTAGGTGTTATAAATAAATGAGAATGGTAATAAATAATTTGCTATATCCTAAAATGTTTTCGTAGCTGGAGAACAAATGCAAATGTAGACACTGTACCGGGCAAAGTATAGAAGTACATTGGTGGGAAATAATACACAAGAGAACAATTCCTCATGACCTCAACACCGATTGCAAAACATTCGAAAAGAGAGAGGGGGAAAGGGAGAGAGAGGGGGAGAGAGAGGAAGATAAAATAAAAAGGTGACTAAAAAAGCAAAGATCCTGGATGGCTGCAGAAGCACATAATTAGACGAATGAATGAACTGACTCCTCTCAAAGAGAAGCGTGAGAGAAAAAAACCCACATACGAAATCGAAAACTAAGGAAAATTCGATGAATGAAGAACAAAGAAAGGTTGAAACAAATAGAGAGAAATCGCATTTTGAGAAAAGCCACATATATCATGAAAATGCAAGAAAAGAGAGAGTGTGAAATTAGTATTGAAAGATGAGAAAGTGGCAGGGCAAAAAAAGCCAAATACTCGAAGAAGCAACCAAGAGAAAGGAATAGAGACCAAACTAACGAATTGAATTAACAAAATAAAAAATCAACGAGGGTTCGATGTTATAAAAACAGATTTTGCAGCAGCATTAGAATAACAGCATTAGAAAGTTCAATAAATGAACCTTATGCCCAATGAGCATAAGGTAGACAAACATACAGTAAAGGGATATACAGCAACTACAAATGAGATCGCGTGAACACAAAAGCGACGTAGAAGAAATAATTATGAATGCCAACGAAAATAAGCAGAAGAGGAAAGCAAAACAAGCTAAGAAAACACTGTGGAAACAAAACTGAGCCAAGTGCGGATGGACACCAAGCGTGCCCTACTCATTCGGTGCCCGAGGTTGTAGGTGAACACGAAGTTTCTGGCGATGAAGTTGGCAAAGAAAATAAGGAAAGAAAAAGACTTCGAAGTTGAAAATGGAAAGGGGAATTATCTTATTGAGTGTACTAAAAAAGCAGCGTTACACAGTCTAATAATTGAAGACGACACATTATATGGAGGTAAGAAAACAATTGAAAATGCGACCGCATGAAGACAGAACAGAGTGTGCCAACGAAATAAGAGCCAACTCGCTAGGTGAAATCACTCTCACGACGAAATTGTCTTAAGCACGCCGGTCAGCTGGACTGCACTCACCCGGTGCCTGAGGTTGTAGGTGAGCACGACGTTTCTGGCGATGGAGTTGGCGAAGAAAAGAAGGAAAGAGAGAGACTTCGAAGTTGAAAATGAGAAGGGGAATTAAGTTATGGAGTGTACTAAAAATGCAGAGTTACACAGTCTAATAATTTAAGATGCGAAAGAGGAAAGCAGAGTATATGGAGGTAAGAAAACAATTGAAAATGAGACCGCATAAAGACGAAAGCGATAGAGAAGATAGAACGGCGAGCGCCAACGAAAAGAAGCGCCAACTTCCTAGGTGAAATCACTCTGACGACGAAATTGTCTTAAGCACGCCGGCCAGCTGGACTGCACTCACCCGGTGCCTGAGGTTGTAGGTGAGCACGAGGTTCCTGGCGAAGGAGTTGGCGAAGGCCTGGTAGAAGTCCAGCACCTCCAGCAGGCGGTCCCTCTTGATGGTGTGCAGGTCGCAGTAGGTGAGCGCGCGAACGTTGGCCGCCGACTGGCCGATGGCCGAGTCCTTCCAAAACGAATCTCCAAAAACGTCGCCCTTGCCTGCAGACAAATTGCCAGAGCCGTCGTCACCCGCGCAACCGTCGCCGCCCTGGGCGCCGGTGATTAACCCCCCTCCCCCGGTGCCCATGCCGTACACCGGCTGCGACGACTGTTGCTGTTGCTGCTGCTGTTGGTGGTGTTGCTGTTGGTGCTGGCGGTGCTGATGTTGCTGCTCTTGCTGGTGTTGCTGTTGCTGCTGGTGCAGCTGTTGCTGGGAGGACGACGTGTCCTTCCAAAAGTTGTCGCCGAACACGTCGCCCTTGCCTGCGCAACAGACAGAAAGCGCGACCCCGGCCGCGTATGAGTTGTAGGCTCGTTGGGGGGATGGTGAGTGGTGCTGGGGGCGGGGGTGACGGGTGGGGTGATTGTGAGGGACGAGGAGGAGGTGTACGAGTCGATTCTTCCCATTCGTTCGCCAGAGTGACTCAGCTTCGTGACGGATACACCGATAGACTCCTCACGTACAGAAATGCTATTTCACTTGCGAACAAGTGTATATGTTATATTTGTACGACTAACCAATTCCTCTAAAATATGTTTATCTAAAATTGTGCGTTCATATTTTACTAGTGCACTCATGCGGACTTGTATCATTTCGTTTCTTACCTTGTTTTCCTAAAAAAAATACAGTGTCAATAAAATATTGATTCTTAAGGACATCTCCGAATATAGATGTTTGGTTCTTTCATCATGAACATCAGTTCATTGCTTCTTACCTTTAGACGGAAAGAAGCTCACAAAATATACGGTAAAAGCACCATTTATTCCTTCGCACAGACGGGTATAAAATATCTAAGTACATAAAAAAAAACTAAAATCTGATAGAATGATGTCAAACAAGATTAAGTATGTAGGTACATTACATCTGTATAGTACTCCTACAAACAAAATATTACAAGGATGGTCTTTTTTTGGGCAATACTCGATTAGTAACGAATGAACCCTCTAAAAGAAATTGAAATATAATAATGAGCAATTTTGACAGCTTTGAAATGTGACAATATAGATTTTATATCAGGTTTGTACTCAGCCTCACCAAGAAAACTTTTAGATATTGCGAAACCCCTGTCAACAATTATTGCATTATCATCAAAAAGTCTTTATTTTGACAACAATACTTCCAACTATCAAGTAACAAATGAATTTACTGTTCCAAATTCTTCATCAGCGACCCCCAAAACCTAAAGATATGTAGCTTTATATCAAATTGTTTGGAATCAGAAAAGTTGTGAAATTAAAAACAGAAAATATACTGAAGTTCTATTTAAAATCCTAAAAGCCTTTGAGGCACGAGTTGACAAAATTGACTGAATAAATACAGGATTAATGTTTTCACATTTAATTTAATTTTTAGATTGTACTCAAAACGTTTGAACATTTTTAAAATAAGGACCATTCTAATAAATTTATTTGTAGGCGTAATATTTTCGGTTCAAGACTTCATTAGAAAAAAAGTGACATGATCGTAACGTACAAGAGAAAATGCCATGTAAAATTTTGTGAAAAAAACATAATTACAATCGCCGTAGGAATTTTGATTAAAGTAGTAGTTAAATGTTGTAATTTTTAATTAACATCAGAGGACGTATGTTTCTAAATAGCAAACAGTGCAGTTGAACATAAACGAATCAAATACTAATCCATCGTTATCGAAAGATGTCGATATGATTGTTTCAAAGAAAGTAGGTGATCGGACAATCGCCATTTTCGTTAGGCAACGAAGTTGAGTCGCTGACCGAAGTGAGAGAATCGACTGTTTCTAGGTGCAATTGAGGGCCACTGAAATGAAGTGAAGGACTAAGTGGAAAAGGCGTGCTTTTTTTCTTTTTTTTCCTGTCGCTTATGCTTACAGCTCCCCCCACCCACTCGCATGTGTGTGGTTACAGTGGAGTGGTTCGGTGGTATGAGATTCTCGACCAGAATTCATCTTCTCGAAATACTTTTTTTTAAATTTTTTTTTGTGGTTTAGGCTTAATAAGATATAAATATGCAACTGCTTTTACAAATAGATCCAGGGAATTAACTTGAGTTTTTGGAACATGTTTTGATAAATTATGCCCCACAGAAAGCACAGCGAGAGTCTGCAACTACAACTAGATCATAGCTAGCGCTGTGTGGGATTATTTAACCATCCTCCGTAAGGTTACGGAAAGTATGCAAATCGGGACACCGCGTGTTCCTGGACGGGTGACCGTCTGGAAACCTCGGGGATCTAACGGCACCGAGCCTCTGACCGAACAGATAGGCGTCAATGACTGAATACGAGTGACGATGGCTAATTTAGCGAAGGATTACTTCACGTTAGACGCTAGTAAATGGTTAAGAGAATGTTATCACGAAAACACATACCAGAATTTTTAAAAAACAACATAGGATCGAGTTCAGGTTATGGTAGATTTTCTGAAATAGTAATAGGTGGATGCGAAAATTCTGTCTTGATGATAATTTTAGATCTCTGATCGGTCGTTACATGGTTCGCGTCCATCAAACACAGGCGTCTGCTGGAGCAGTAATTTACACAGGGGCTTCAGACTGCGCACAATTTTTACTTTGTGGCTACAGAGTAGAGAGAAAGTTATTAATGCTGCGCGAAAAATAACGAATTTTCTAGAAACAAAACAAAACGAAAACATCCTTTGAAGACATATAGCCAACGGACTTCAAAACACTTGGGTAAAATGGAAAAAATCTTCTATCGCTTATGACTAGGGCAAGGATAGTTAAGTAATAACTTTTTTCTATAAGATTTAATATATGCATATTGTAATATGTCTACTAAACAAGGTTCATGCATTGTAAAAGTTCTTATAGTGCATGTTTTTACATATTTTGGGATTCTTTATAATTGCATAATATTTAGAGTATACTGTTAGAATGATACATATTCTGCTATTTTGACAGGAAAATGTCTAAAAAATATTATTATTAATTACTTTATTGTTATAATATTGTTTATAATATTAATAATAAATAAGTAAATAACAAAAGTTTTTTTCATTAGGAACTGACTATAATATTTGTAAGGTAATGAAATTTCGGCCTAGTTATTTTTCCAAAATGAAAAGTCTCTCCAAACAGACTGAACCGCAAGACCTTGATGGTCAGACATTGAAGAAACATTGTCACGGGAAGAAATAGCAAACTTGGGCCAACGACATCTCTGTTGTTTTTCCAGTACAAATCATTTTGAATAGCAACAGAAAATCGTTTCTCTTTTTAAACCTTATAATGATGACTTTTATACACTTAAATGAAAATAATTAAGTGACTTGAAGCAACAGTTTCAGTCCATAATTCAGGTGGTTTTTATCACAATTTGCATTGTTTTTGTAAACTACATGTTAATTAGATCTTTAGTGATAAATATAAGTGATGAAAATAAAAAATTACGATAATTTCATAATTTGTATGAGTTTTTGTATACTACATATTTTCTGCGTCGTTAATGCATATCTACCTGTTTTAAATCTCATAATTACACACATATTTTACTTTTTCTATGCATAACTATCCAAGCCCTACTTATGACCAATGAAAACATGGCAACTGACTTGAACAAAACTAAAAATGGTACTACTTTCTCGGGTAACGATGAAGTACAAAACAGTGTAATAAAGTTTCCAAGATAATAAACACGTTCGAAATAATATAGTAAAAATGCATACGTATGTTCTATTCAATAACTAAACCACATGTACGTTAGAAACTTTTAAGTAGAAATCCTGGAAGTTTATGAGACTATTTTTTTCCCGATTTGAGATAGTTTTTGAGTCGGGAGAGCCAGCTTTTCCGTTAATTTAACTAGAATGGTTAAGGGATAATCTTCATTTCACTTTCACACCAAACATTAGCCAGCGATGTACAATAATAAATATTACAGCTGTTGTAATGCAACACAAAGAGGTACAAGGCTGATTGGTATTTCGAGAAGATGATTATCAGGTCGGAGAGTATGGCGTGTGCAAAGTGTGCTGGATCAGTGCGAAACAGAACCGAGAGGTGTGTGCTAAGTGTGGTAAAGGGTGCGCATTTGGGAGTATCAGATAATAGATACTAGATACAAATTGGAACACTTTCAGAAGGGCTCGGTTCTAATGCTTGGTAATGATGCTTAGACACATACAGACATTGGGAATTTGAACACAAACCGTTGCTAAATTTTAAATAACGATTAGAATTGAGTTTACATTATAAAAAGGAATTCATTATTTCATGGTAATTCTTTTGACGTCACAGAATGAAATTGCATTTTTCCTTTAATACAATTTGGGAGTATTAGGTAATATATATCAGATACAAATTGGTACACTTTTAGAGGGGCTTAGTTCTAATGGTTGGTAATGATGCTTAGATACATACAGACACTGGGAATTTGAACATAAACCATTTCTTGGCAATTTTAAATAATGATTAAGAATTGAGTTTCTATTAGAAAAGTGATTCATCAATTGATGGTTTTTCGCTTCACACGACAGGATAAAATTGCATTTTTCCAACAATACAATTAAAACTACAATTTACAGATCACTATTCACAAGGGTGTAAAAAAAGAAAATAAGTATTGCAACTGTAGTGATATTCAATATGAAAACTAAAAAAATTGTACACTTCACTAGAGCTAGATGTATCAAGGCACATGAATAATTATTTTTTCTTCGACTCTGGAAGCACATACACACACACAAAGAAAATGAGAACATAAATTGTGAACATTCTTGTGCACATCTCTCGGTTTTGTTTCTTCAAAGATCAGCCACAATTTCTTGAGAACTATTAGAATGTATGGAGGTTTTATCTTCAGTTAGCACATATTTGTTGTTGGTACTTGTGTTTCTATGTAAGCTCCTGTACATAGAATCGACTGACAACTAATTTTGCGATTGTTTTCAATGTGTAATCATTGGCACGAGGGAACATCATACCTTAAAATGCATAGCACGTTTTGTTCACATCTTGTTCATGAATGTTTACAATGAACTACATTATATTTTGAAACAAGAAAGTCTGAGCAGAGCCATAAAGAAAGCTATGCATTATCACTATCGAATATATTTGGTATTCCCTTCGGCTTAGTTGGTATTAGTTTCCTGTGTCATGATGTGGTTTGGCCAGCAAAATGAAATAATGTTTATTTGCAGTTTAGATACTGAAATGGTATGTTATTCAAGTACAAAATTATGTGTATCAAATTTTGCTGAGTTGATGCAACTTATAAGAATGGTGTAAGTGTATGTATGTTTTAGATGTCAGCATATCTGTAAT